GTTGAATTCCTTGAGCCTTGAGAGTAACTAGAATCACAGTCCTAACTTCCAGTTTCCTGGTCTCTCCCTGCCTTCTCTTATACAATTTGACTACACTCTGTTTTGTATGGAACTTATCCCAGCACACATTTTACTTTCCTTGGCTACTGAAGATGAATCTTGTTCCATTTGTTAAACTCTGATGTACAATTTTTTAAAAAAGGCTCATTGGGTGGTGGTGGCGCATGCCTTTAATCCCAGCACTGGGGAGGCAGAGGGAGGTGGATCTCCGAGTCTGAGGCCAGCCTGGTCTACAGACTGAGTCCCAGGACAGTCAGGGTCACACAGAGAAACCCTGTCTCAAAACCAATCAAACAAAAAGATAACCAAACAGTAACAACAACAAAAAGAAAATGGGCTAGCTATAAATGCTAAATAAATATAGACATAAATATCCATATGATTATTAATAGGATGTTCTCATCTAGAGGTATCGATTTATGGGTGAGAGAAGTAGAGGGTGATACTGAGGATACAGCTTGCACTGGAGACTTTTCCAGCATGTACAATGCCCTGGACTGCATTCACAGCACTGAGGGAGACTGGGGGAGCGGTAGGCATTCTCCAGCATGCCCAGATCCACAGGCACTCACCGGGAGATGCGTCAGACCCTTGACCAGGCCTTCTCGGGGCTCAGGGGCCAGCTCCTCATCCCGACCTCTGTCTCGGGCTCCTCATAGCAAAGCATCTATGGCCAGTGTCGGCAACTCACCTTCTACCCAGAGCTGCTCCAGGTCTGTCTCAATAACGGCCACTCGGAGACCCAGTGCCAGAGCCCCAAAGGCCACCAGTCCCAGGAAGAGCACTTTGCCACAGTGTCTCTGGATCCTGCACCCCAGGGAGAAGAGCAGGCCTTGGAAGTAAGCACGAAGCCAGAGAGGAGCCTGCAGGCTCCCAGCTAGGATCTGGGACAGAAAGAGAAGGGTCAGCCAGGTGTCAGGGTGACAATGCAGAATCCTTCTCTTCTCTCTCTCTGTCATGTCCTGGTTTCCTGACTTCTGGATGCAGGGCAGGAAGCAGCTACAGATAGAGGCTTCTAATTAAAGATTTAACTCTCTCTTCCGCTGTGCCTTCTCCACAAGCACACCTGAGAGTGCTCCCCCCCTTTTTTGAGAGTTATGAGCCATGAACCCATGCTAGCTGTCAGAGGGGCACAAAGGCGAAGCCACAGACGTACTGTTTTCACTGACCAGATGATAGGAAATAGACTAACATCACTTGCTAGCTCTCACTTGTCTTTCAACACAGATCCAGTAACACCTGACCTATAAACATCACACGCCCTGCAGACGTTGAAGTGACAGACACAAGCCCCGTTTCTTCTAACTTCTCTTCTATTTACCTGAGGTGCTGCGGGTCGAGCCGGAGGTGTGTAGTTGGGAGGCAGATCTCCAAGGGACAGCGGCCGAACCATGCTGGTGAGGATCGGGGGCGCGAGCGCCCCCAACCTGCGTTATCTGAGCGCGGCCATAGGCTAGCTCGGCCCCTTGTGCCGTCTGGCTTCGCCTGGGAACTCCTAGGGGCCGCGAACGTGCGGTCGTGAGACGCGGGTGCAGATGCGCAGGAGCAGTCCGGAGCGGCGGTGCGGGGTGGTGCAGGCCCGCGACGCTAAGTCCCGCTGGATCTGTGGGCCGTGATCCAAAGTGAGCTACGCGTGTGGGTGGAACCGGCTGCGGCGAAGCACCTCACAGCTCAAGGAGGCGACTGCGGATCTCGGGAAGCAGCAGGAGCCTCAGAAAAAGGAGCGGGCCGGGGTGACGCCCTCCTATTGGCTGAGGGGACTGCAAATTACCCGGCTGCCGGATCCGTTGCTAGGTAACGGCGCCGCAGGGGGCGGGGCAGGAGACCACCCAGGCAGGGCCACCCCTAGCCTCGCCTCCCCAGCTCGCCTGCCCGCCCGCGGGGCCCAAGGGAAGGAGAAGGGAGGGCGATCCTGGAGGCGCTAGTCGCTGGCCAAGTGTAAGTCAGGATATTGAGAAAGGGAGTCTGCTGGTCCCCTTAGGGCCACCCTTTCTTCCTGACCCAGCACGACCCCGAAGACCTCCTTTCCATTCTCTCCATGTAGGCCAGAGTCATCGCTCTACAATGCAAATCTCATGATTGCTCCAAAGCCCAGGACCCTGCACCAAACAACTATAACTAAAGCTTCTCTCATAAGTGCCTTACACCCACTCAGTTGCCTTCCAGTCCCTAATTGCCCTCAGTAATTTCCTAAAACCGCCATGTTGTTCACATAGTCTTGCCTTTGTACATGTTGGGGCTCCTTTGTCTTGGCAGATAAACTTCAAACCTGAACTTAAATCAATCAGCCCAGACTTTTGGAAGAGTTCCTTAATTCCCTCTTGCTCTTGGTGGGTAATGGCTTTTTTCTTTGTGGTTCTCATTAACACTGTTTATTTGTGCACTATATTTTGGGTTTTTTGTTTGTTTTGTTTTTTCAAGACAGAGTTTCCCTGTGTTCTGGCTGTCCTGGAATTCACTCTTTAGGTCAGGTTGGCCTCAAACTAACTTCCGAGTGCTGGGATTTAAAGGCATGTGCCACCACTGCCCAGCCTATATTTTTAAGAGTTTGTTTTAAAATGCTTTTGAGACAGGGTCTCAGATAGCTAAGTTGGCCTCAAACTCCTGGTCCTATTGTCTTTACCTCTCAAGTTCAGGAACTATACAGGCCTGTATTGTCCATCCTGTCCTATTATTGTATTTGTGATGACATAACTTATGTACAGCAATTGAAAGTCTATTCCCCTGCTAGAAAGTAAGAGGTGGTCAGTAATGTTGAGTGCATCCCTAAGAGTTGAAGAAACCAGGCATAAATGCCAGGTGATGAGAGAAGCTTGTCTGTTAAACTTCTAGTTTACCCATCTGATTATGATGTTTCTGTTTGTTCCTGACTGATAAACTCTGATATGGCATAGGAGGATAAAACTCAATATCTAATATGGAAAGTTTGGGAAAGAAGCTGGGCATGGTGGCACGCATCTTTAATCTCATCCATTACTCAAGAGGCAGAGGCAGGTGGGTATCTTGTGAGTTCCAGGCCCCAACATAGTCTATACAGAGAGTTCTGGGACAGTCAGGGCTACCTAGAGAGACTGTTTCAGAAAACAAACAAAAGTTTGGGGAAAAAGGAAGATTGCAGTAAATCCATTATTCTGATACCGCTAACACATCTGGCTAGCCTCTTGCTCAATTCTTCCAAACTTCTTAATCATTATATCATAAATATTTCATGTTACTACATAGGCATCCCATCAGTCATTTGCAGAATGTCCTTAGGACAGATTCCCAGAAATGGGGTTGTTTGGGTCAAAAAGCATGATTATGTTTTTAGTCTTGTTACATACTGCCAAACTTTTTGAGAACTTGTGTAAATTAACACAGCTCCAGGTTTAGTCTTAGGGAAAGGCAGTTGGGTTGAGGAGTGAGAATCTAAGGAGGGACTAGCGCATCTGTCTACAACACTGATGCCCTGTGGCTGAGTGGCCCTGGGTATGAAGGAAGGCTGGACAGAACTCTCAGCAGTTAAGATCACCTTTTGCTTTTGCAGAGGACCCGATTCTAGCTCCCAGCACCCACAGTGGAGAGTTCACAACTGCCTGTAACTCCAGCACTAGGAGAACCTTCTGGCCTCTGAGGGCAACTTCATACACGATAGACATACAGATACTCAGGCACATACACATAAATAAAGAAAAGTATTTTAAAAAGACAGGGGCTGGAGACATAGCTCAGAGGTTAAGAACACTGGTGCTCTTACAGAGGTTCTTAGTTCAATTCCCAGCAACCACACAGAGCTCACATCATGTATAATGAGATCTGGTGCTCTCTTCTGGTATGAAGGGCAGATATACATGCAGGCAGAACATGGTATACATAATGAATGAATCTTTAAAAAAAGACAGGAAGCCTATGTGCATAGTACTTTCCTCCAGTCATAAGGGGAAGTTCTCTGCAGAGAAAGTGTACCTCTAGCAAGACTCTGGAAATAGAAACATCTCTAAAGTGGGCCTTGTGGACTCCAACATTGATCTTGGGGCTATAAAGACAGGAATTGACTGGAATAAGCACAGGGTGGCATTATAATGCCAAGACAGATCTGACATTTCTTGAGATCTTTCATGTTACCAGGTTCTGCAAGCGAGAGGTCCACAGAGACATAGGTGAGTAATCACCTCAGCTTGGATTATGTTTCTATTACCAGCTGACTGCTGCTATCAATTGCCAATTGTGTCAAAGTCCTAGCATTTTTTATAAAGATGACCATATGTAGCTGAGATGTGTCTTAAACTCTTATCCTCCTGTTTTAGCCTCCCAAGCATTGGGATTATAGGCAGGCATGTTAGCATTTGGCTTGGGATTTTTTTAAACTTTTTTTTTTAAGATTATTTGTTCTGTCTATAGGCCAGAAGAGGGCAGCAGATCTCATTACAGATGGTTGTGAGCCACCATGTGGTTGCTGGGAATTGAACTCAGGACCTCTGGAAGAACAGACAGTGCTCTTAACCTCTGAGCCATCTCTCCAGCCCTTGGCTTGGGATTTTGACATACAACTCACTATGCAGTTAAGGTTGACTTTGAGTAGGGGGTTACAGGTGCAACCACACTAGGGCTTTCTATGGATGCTTCAGAAAGAGTCTATCTACTGAGAAAACCTGCTAATCAGTTCAACCAGAGTAGAAAAAGTGGGTCTACCCTTTCTAGCCTTCCCAAGCTAGGGTTGTTGCCCCCTGGCCACTTACTCCAAAATGGCCAGATGTGTGTTTGTATGTGGGTATGTGCACATGAATGCAGGTGACTGTGGAGACCAGAGCTGAGTTACAGTTAGGTATGGGTGTTGGAAACTGAACTTGGGTTTTCTTCAAGGGCAGTACATGCTCTTATCCATCTTTCCAGTCCCTAACATGGCTTTTCTTTTCCTCAACAAAATGACTTCCTGAGTTTGGGGCAAGAACTAATGCCAGATATTTACCTGGCAGGGGAGACACCACGATCACGAAGGTGGTTTTCCCAGGGCAAGACTTATCCATTGCACTTGGATGTGCTAACCTCTGAGATCCCTACATGCAGGAAATTTGACTGCATAATTTGTGGTAGTGGGGGACTGCGTTCTCACTCTCCCCCCCTAAAGAAAAACAAGTTGGTTTTTTTTTAAAGATGAACTAGAGCTAGACTCCAGGTAATTAGCTGAAATAAGATAATAAGATAAAGAGGGCTAGCTAGGCATGGTGACACATGCCTTTAATCCTGGCACTCAGGAGGCAGAAGCAGGCAGATTGCTGAGTTCCAATCAGTCTGGTCTACAGAGTGAATTCCAGGACAGCCAGGGCTACACAGAGAAACCCTGTCTCAAAAACAAACAAACAAACAGATAAAGAAGCTTGAAACAGGGTGTTCTGTCTTTGGGCCCAAACCCGAGACATTCCCCAAAGAGTAACAGAGAAGAACAGTCATCTCCAAGGATTAACTCCTTACTATCAATTAGTGAGCTAAACAAGCCTGCCCCTTCACTGAGCACTAGGGGTTAGAAGCCTTTCTTTCTTTTTTGGTATTTTAAGACACGGTTTCCCTTTTGTAGTCCTGGCTGTCCTAGAGCTAGCTCTGTAGGTCTGCCTCTGCCTCCTGAGTGCTGGGATTAAAGACCTGCATCACCTTCACAGGCCTTTCTTTGTTTCTTTCTTTTTTTTTTTTTTAAGAGCTCTTAGCCTGCCGGGCGGTGGTGGTGGCGCATGCCTTTAATCCCAGCACTAGGGAGGCAGAGGCAGGCGGATCTCTGTGAGTTCGAGGCCGGGCTGGACTGACAGCCTCTAAAACAATACAGAGAAACCCTGTCTCATAAAACCAAAAAAAAAAAAAAAAAAAGCTCTTAGCCTGAGAGTCGCCCAGAGATCACAGAGGAGATTATTGACTTGCGATATTCAGGGGTACTCAGGAAAGAAGTAGTTGAGAAAAGAAGGAGCGTAGCAGTCTAAACACAATTTAAGGTCTGATATCTTTGTCATCCTGCAGCAGGGTCTCTAGCCCTGGCAGTTTTGGAACTCATTATGTAGGCCAGGTTGGCCTCAAACTCAGAGATCCACCTATCTCTGCCACCTGAGTATTAGGACTAAAGACTGGTTCAGATTTTTTCTTTTTAAATCTTTTATTTTTTGAACTTTTAATCTTTCTGGTCTACCTTCCAAGTGTTGGGATTACAAGTGTATGCCACTACATGTGGTTTATACAGTACTGGGGATTGAACCTAGGGCTTCCTACATGATAGGTAAATGCTCCATTAACTGATCTACAACTCTAGTCCTTAACACATAAGATTAAATGAGATAATACACGTTGAGAACAGTGCCTCAAGGTGGAACATGCACACACACACACACACACACGCACACACAGTGTGTGGGAGAGCGTGAGTACTGTGGCTTCAGGGGAGGATCGGTATGATCTCCTTTTTATGTATTTTCTCAGACTTCTTACCATCATTTTTGGTTGCTTGTTTTCTGGGCCAGGCAGAGGCAATGGCCATGATATATAGAGAAAATTGGTGGCTGATTAGACTTAGATGCCAAGCCTGCTGTGTGTGTATCTTCCCATTAGGCAGTTTCAGATCAATAGCCGCTATCAAGTCTGGTGCCGGAGGCTGCCACCAAAGAGCAGAGAATAGCCCTCAACTAGAGCATGGGGAAGAGAGACTTTGCCAAAGAGGCAACTCATTGTTTCCATGTGGCTCAGGTCTAGGCCAGGTCATCCTGGCTTCTAATACAATGCCTTTCCCTCCGGGTCAGCTTCATCTCAGAGCTTTCTAGACCTTCTATCTGGGTGGCCCTTCCCACAGACACAGTTAACTATTTAGTGTTTTGTTTCTGTTTCTGCTGAGAAGGGGTCTTCCTATGTTACCCAAGCCTCTGGGCTCAAGTGGGAAGCCAATTCAGCTTCTAAGTACTGGGACTACCGGCACCCATCACAGGCTCAACTGCTTAGAAAGCAACCTATAGTAGGGTAGTGATGGCACATGCCTTTAATCCCGCAACTCAAGAGGCAGACGCAGGCAGATATCTGTGAGTTCAAGGCCAGCCTGGTCTACAGAGGGAGTTTCAGGACAGCCTCCAAAGCTACAGAGAAACCTGTCTCAAAGGAAAAAAAAAAAAAGCAATCTATAAAGCTTGGCTTATGTAACTCCTTAAGGGTAGGGATGGCTGTAGATAAACAGAAGGTGCTTCCGGCAAATCTTACTTTGGAAAGGAATTTGTAGGGCAATGTTGGCTTAAATTTAGAGCCTTGACAGCAGACTGAAAAGAAGTGTTGAGAGATGGTTCCTGCAGGAGCAGTCCTGAAGTTTTCTGGATTGCAAGCTTGCAAAGAAGCTTTTCTCCTTTTGTTTTTGATAGGGTATGTGTAGCTCTGGCTGTTTTGGAACTATATAGACCAGTCTGGCCTTGAACTCACAGAGATCCGTCTGCCTCTGCCACCTGTGTGCTGGGACTAAAGGTGTGCACACCACACTTGGTTTCAGAGTATTTACTGGTTTATGTCAGCACCTTTTCAGAGGCCTCCGGAAAAGTTGTCCTCATCCTCTCTTCCTTTATTTCCTTTATCAAGCGTCACTGGGAAGAGCAGGGCAGACTTCTACCAGCATCACCTCCCTGGCTGGCAGGCCAGTGGACGTTCACTTGCTTGCTACGTTGCAGACATAACCCATCTGCAGCGACCAAAGGGAAATAAAAATGGTGCATGCAGTGCGATAGCCTGTGTCCTGTGACAGTGTGATAGCCCTGTGTCCTGTGACAGTGCGATAGACCTGTGTCCTGTGACAGTGTGATAGCCCTGTGTCCTGTGACAGTGCGATAGCCCTGTGTCCTGTGACAGTGTGATAGCCCTGTGTCCTGTGACAGTGTGATAGACCTGTGTCCTGCGACAGTGTGATAGCCTGTGTCCTGTGACAGTGTGATAGCCCTGTGTCCTGTGACAGTGTGATAGCCCTGTGTCCTGTGACAGTGTGATAGCCCTGTGTCCTGTGACAGTGTGATAGACCTGTGTCCTGTGGCAGTGTGATAAACTCATGTCCTGTGGCGGCAGAGGAGAGATCTCCCTCTGATCCAGTCAGGACTCTGAGGGTGTAGACAGGGGTCTGGAAGACTTCAGGCATTTCCTCTCTGCTGCCATCTCACTCTTCCGCCACAGCTACCTAGCTTTAGCCCCCTTTGTGGTCTGAGACTTCTGATTGTCTGGGACACCTATACTCTGCAGCCAGGAGCTCTAAGAAAAGAACTAACCCTAAAGATAGGAAGGCCTTTGGAAAGCACTCACTCTGCCGGGAGGTGGTGGCACACACCTTTGATCCCAGCACTCCAGGGGCAGGGGAGGCAGAGGCAGGCGGATCTCTGTGAGTTTGAGGTCAGCCTGGTCTACAGAGAGAGTGTCAGGGCAGCCTGGGCTGTTACACAGAGAAACCCTGTCTGGAAAACAAAAACAAAACAAAACAAAGCACTCAATCTGGGAGCTGGAGATGGCTCAAGGGTAAGAGTGCTTGCTGCTCTTGCAGAGGACCCCAGAATAAGCATTGCATATAACTCTAGGTCCAGGATCCTATACCCTCTTCTGGTTTCTGCAGGTCCATGCACACACATACAGACATAAGAAATAAAAATAAAAAAATTTTTTGAGACAAGATTTCACTGTGTAGCTCTTGTTGTGCTGGAATTTGCTCTGTAGACCAGGCTGTCCTCTAACTCAGAGATTCACCTGCCTCTGCCTCCTGAGTGCTAGGATTCGAATAAAATCTTAAAGAAATACTTATTTTTATGTGTGTGGGCATTTTATGTCTTTATATCACATCCTAAGGCTTCAGATCCCCTGGAAATGGAGTTTTACACAGTTGTGAGTCACCGTGTAAGTGCTTGGAATTGAACCTGGGTCCTTTGGAAGAACAGCAGTGCTCTCAACCACTGAACAAGTAATTGAATGTCCAGCCCAAAATAAAATCCTTATTTTGTTTTTCAAGACAGGGTTTCTCTGTGTAACAGTCCTGGCTGTCCTGAAACTCACCCTGTAGACCAGGCTGGCTCAAACTCATAAAGATATGCTGGTCTCTGCCTCCCTTCAAGTGCTGGGATTAAAGATGTGTGCCACCACCGCCTGGCTCGAAATAAAATCTTTAAAAAAAATTAACTCAACTTAATTTTTGTTTTGGAGAAGGAGATACTCAGGCTAGGAGAGGCAGTGAACTGACTAGAACCAAAAACTGTCACAGAAAACAGGCCACCCCCCAAAACAGAAGTCTTCCCCTCAGCCCCAGATGTTTCCAGTACTACTTGACACCAATCTCTATCATCTTCATTATTGTTATTTTATTGGTTTTTTGAGACAGGGTCTCACTATGTAGCCTGGTTGTCCTGGAACTATGAAGACTAGGCTGGCATTGAACTCACAGAGAACAGAGATCAGCCTGGATTAAAGGTGTGTATCATGCCTGGTCTTTTTTTTTTTTTTTCAATTAAAAAATATTTCTTTTTTTTTAGCCCAGGCTGGCCTCAAACTTCCTGTATAACAGAGGATAGTCATGGTCTTCCTGCCTCCTCCTCCTGAGTGCTGGGATTACAGGATTGTGCCACCATACCTGGCAAAGAACCCACAATTTAATTCTAGTTCTATAAGAACCATCTTGGAAGGACACCATCACAATGTTTATCTCTCTCCTTCACTCCCATGGGTTCAACCACTTCTGCTAGACCACTGGGCTCCTGTCTGATGAAGGCAAGCTTCCAGGAGCCCTGTCCTAAGCACTGGGAGGAATGGAGAGTCAGAGCTCCCAAGACTGGTTGGAGGCGGACTCCCCCAGGGTAGGCATGCTCATCTCTCTCACAAGTTCAATGAGACCAACATACGATCAGGCAAGACTACTCAAGTGAACTTGAGAGCCTGGAAATTTTTGAAGCAATGCAGAAACCAGTATTTCAAACTATTCTTTATTATAATTACTGCCACCCACAGTGAGGACATCAAGGGAAACTTTTACTTTGATAATTCTAGGAGGTGAAATCTTACCCCAGGAGTCACTTTTATCTCCCACTAACCCTGGAGGCTGTAAAAGCAGTGCAGGGAGAGAAGAGCAGTTTGTGTTTGGGAGCAGGG